TCTTGCAGTGCTTTCACATAACCACTCCATACTTACCTATGATGGGTACATTTACTTATAAATGAGCTACTTGAGAATTAACAAGGGAGGGTGTTTTTAGAGATGTCGAGGCGGCCAAAGATATTTCTCTTTCCAACTACATATGATCAGAAAGCTGCATCTCTGCATGAAGGGGAATTCTATTAAAGTTCTATTAAGATAATTTTGATCTCAAACATTTCAAGTGGAACCCATCCGATAGTTTCTTTCTTTTTCTGTCTGTCTCTCATGCTCTCTTACACAAAATATGAAAGGAGGAAGAGGAAGCGTCAACTTTATGTTCCTCCAGTTGGGTTAGTCTGTAAATTAATCCTCTCCACATTAAGGCATTCCCAAATGACTTCAGTTACCTTGGAGGAAGCAGGTTAATTTATCTCCCTATTATGCCTACTACTTGGCTGCCATACCCTGAATCTAATAAACACAGATTAACCTTGAGGGAAGCTTTAAGCAGATTTTTGCTCAAGATTGCAGTGATAAGGGGCAACTGTGTGGCTGTCATTTGGGTGTCTGCCTTCAGCTTAGGTCATGATCCCGGGGTCCTGGGATCGAGCCCAGCACCCCTGGGCTCCCTGCTCGGTGGGGAGTCTGTTTCTCCCTCTCCCTCTGCCCCTCCCACTCCACTTGTGCTCTCCCTCTCTCAAATAAATAAATAAAAACTTAAAAAGAAAAAAAGACTCCAGTGATAAATCTAAGCAGTACAGATTGGGACTGGGGTCTGGGGACCACAGACTCATCTGCCCTCTTGACCAGTTCTGAAGTCTCCCAAGAATTCCACTTTTTTTCTTCCCCAGGTCTCCAATTCCGCAGGTCCCCCATGAACATTCCTCCTTTCCAACATGACTTTCTGCCAGTTACTAGAGCCCTTTCTTACTTAAATTCCTTTTTCATCCTGAAGTTTTTGGCCTCAATTCCCAGGGTATAGTCTCCTCCCTGCCAAGATCAATCAGTTGGAAATCAGATTGCTAGTGCTAAAGTTGGACTTTGTAGTGTTGGGGATAATTGGTGCTAAAGACAGAGCTACAGTTGGTGTATTAATGATAAGTATTAGAACTGAGGAGTTGGGGTCGCAGTGGTTTATTAATAATCTGGTGACATCCACAATTTTTATAACAATCCATATAAAATTATAATATTTCTTTTTAAAAAAGATTTTATTTATTTTTTAAAGTGAGAGAGAGAGTGGGGGGGAACAGAGGGACAGGGACAAACAGACTCCACTCTGAGAGTGGAGCCCAATACAGGGCTCAATCCCATGACCCTGAGATTATGACCTAAGCCAAAATAAAGAGTCAGACCCTTAACTGACTGAGCCACCCAGGCACCCCAGAACCATAATATTTCTTTTAATTGAATGTAACCTAAAATTTTTATTTCATTAAGTATATGCCTTGTGATTTTCAGTTCTGGCATTCTCTGTAAGTATAAACCATTCTGTCCTCTGCCTGATTTCTGTTGCTGATTTGCCATAGAATTGAGGACGTTAAGGGTATAGGGTGTTTCCTATTACAGATAGAACTTTGCTTTATCCAAAAATTGAAGAGAAATAACCCAGAAACATTACTAATTAAGAGGTTTAATTCCTCCTAAAACCTCTCAGGGAGTTGATATAAAAAAGCTCATCTCTTTTCCGAACTCGTCTTTAGCTTAATGTAAATACAGATGGATGGGGTGCCTGGGTGGTGCCTTCAGTTAAGCGTCTGCCTTCGGCTCAGGTCATGATCCCAGGATCCTGGGATCAAGCCCCGCATTGGGCTCCCTGCTCAGATGGGAGCCCGCTTCTCCCTCTTCCTCTTCCTGCCGCTCCCCCTGCTTGTGCTGTCTCTCTCTGTCAAATAAATAAATAAAATCTTTTTAAAAATGCAGATGGATACAAAAACAACTATAGACGTAGATACACATATAAGTAGACATATGTACACATGGGTTAGTATACATAGATATATTACCTAGTTCAGTCAGCTGAGAGGACCTAGACACAATGATACCCCAGTATCAATGACCACATCAGTGCCCAGTGGGCACCCAGTGCCCATATCTTGGTTTCTAATGAGAGACAGAGAGAACACAAGCAGGGGGAGAGGCAGAGGGAGAGGGAGAAGCAGACTCCCCCGTTAAGCTGGGAACCCGACATGGGGCTCCATCCCAGGACCTGGAGATCATGACCTGAGCCAAAGGCAGAGGCTTAATCATCTGAGCCACCCAGGCACCCTGAGATGTGTTCCCATTTAAAACTTTTTTTCTATTACATCTTAGAATGTTTGGCCTTTCCTACTTTTAGCTATATATCTTTTCATGTGATTTATTTCTTTACAACTAATTTTGTATGTTTTTAAATGAATTTTTTTACTGTTTAAAAAGTAATAAATGTTCATTGTGACAATTAATTAAAGGGAAGTATAAAGAAAAGAATTAAAAATCTCAATGGGGGGATGCCTGGGTGGCTCAGTCAGTTAAGCTTCTGCCTTCAGCTTGGGTTGTGATCCCAGGGTTTTGGGATCAAGTCCCACATTGGGCTCCTTGCTCAGCGGGGAGCCTGCTTCTCCCTCTGCCTGTCACTCCCCCTGCTTGTTCTGTCTCTGTCTCTTTCTTTGACAAATAAATAAAAATCTTTTAAAAAAATCTCAATGGGTTTCTTAATTTTGAATATTAATTGAAAGAGCTGAAATCAGAATACCTGGGTGGCTCAGTCAGTTAAGCATCTGACTCTTGGTTCTGGCTCAGGTCATGAGCTCAGGGTCGTGAGATGAGCCCCACATGGGGCTCCATGCTTAGCACGGAGTCCTCTTTCTCCCTCTCCCTCCTCCTCTGCCCCTCCCCCTGCTCATTCTCTCTTGCTCTCGCTCTTGCTCTAAAATAAATAAAATCTTAAAAAAAAAAAGCTGAAATCTTTAACTTATTTAAAACATTCCTACAATAACTATGGTTGACTCTTGAATAACATGGGTTTGAACTACACAGGTCCACTTACAAAAGGATTTTCTTTATAAATATGGTATGACACTGTAGATGTGTTTCTCTTAGGATTTTCTTCATAATATTTTCTTTTCTCTAGCTTACTTTATTATAAGAATATAATATAGGGGTGCCTGGTGGCTCAGTCAGTTAATCATCTGCCTTGATCCCAGGGTCCTGGGATCGAGCCACCCATGATCCCAGGGTCCTGGGATCGAGCTCTGCATTGGGCTCCCTGCTCAGCTGGGAGCCTGCTTCTCCCTCTCCTCCCTGCTAGTGCTCTCTCTAGCTATCTCTGTTGCTATCTCTGTCTCTGTCTCTCTCAATTAAAGAAATAAAATCTTTTAAAAACTCTATAAAAAAAGAATATAGTCTATAATACCTATAACATACAAAATATGTATTAATCAACCGTTGTTTATGTTATCAGTAAGGCTTTCCATCAATAGTAGGCTGTTAAGTGTTTGAAGAGTCAAAAGTTATACACAGATTTTTGACTGTGCAGGGGTTGGCGCCTTGAACCCCCGTGTTTTTCAAGGGTCAACTGTACATTGGTAGGTAAAATGACCCACTGATATTTATTAATATTTGAATGCTTTTGTAGGACTTTTTCATCTTCTCTTAGTTTTCTCTTGCTCCATAACAAATCACCACAAATTTGGCAGCTTAAAGCAACATATTTACTATCTGACAGTTTCCATGGATCAGGGGTCCAGGCACAACTTAACTGGGGCTCTGCTCCAGGTCTCAGAAGGCAGTAGTCAAGATGTTGGACAGGCTGTGTTTTCATCTGGAGGCTTGACTGAGGAAGAATCTGCTTCCAAGCTTATTCAGAGTGTTGGCAGAATTCATTTCCTTAAAGGCCCTACCTTCTTACTGGTTGTCGGCTTGAGGCTCCCCACAAGTCCTAGACGCCACCACTAGTTCTCTGCTATGTGGTCCTCTCCATCTGCAGTTCATATGGCTGTTTGCTTCCTCAAGGTGGCAGGAGAGCCTTTTAGCCCCACTCTGCTAAGCTAGAGTCATAACATAACATAATCACAGAAGTTGTGCCATTTCATCACTTTTACTATATTCTGTTAGAAGTAAGTCACTGGTTCTATCTGCACTCAAGGTGAAGGAATTATACACAGACATAGACACCAGGCAGAAGAAGTTACTGGGGGGTCAGATTAGGTCTGAGCTCTCATTTCCTCATCTAAACTGGAATAGTTCTTAAGGAAGTTTGTGAATGTTCTTCTAACAGCAAAGAGAGTTTGACATCTTCAATCTCAACCGTCTTATTTTATAGACAGGGAATTGAGGCTCCAAAAGAGTAAATGGTTTGCCTAAGTTTGGTGGATGAGTTCAGAGTTGTTTACTCCCAGGTCAGCATACTTTCTACACATCGTGATGTTAATGAAGTATTTTATAGTATTTTCACTGTACACTTCAGCAAAATAAAATATATATGTATTTATTGGTAGGCAAGGCAGAAAGTGGGTGTAGGCATTATAAAGAATGTTGCATGTACAATGTCCAGTATGGCAGCCACCATGTATATTTGCGTTTTCTGGGTGTGATCAGATGCAAGAACCAGTGAGTGAAAAAGAATTACGTATGCTCAGGGCAAGACCAGTACATACCTTATTTCATTTAGTCATCCCAAAGACTCTATAAAGTAGAAATTATTATTCTACAGATTAAAAAAAAAAAAACAGGCTCAGTGAAGGCAACTAAATTATTCTGGGTGCTGGCAACCAACAAATTACAGTGACCAAATCAAGGCCAAATACATTGCTCATTTCTGGCCCATCCCATTTCTCTATCACTAATTTCTATGATTAATTTACAATCCTGTGAAATTTTTCATAGTCTCTACAGCCCTTGCCTTTTTCTTTTTGCCTGTTTAAGTCTTGCCACGCTTGGTACCTCTAGGTGGGAGGAGTTCATAATAATAGACTGCTAAATCTTCTAGCCCTTTTACATGCCTCTATCTTCCGGTTTAGTCGTGTTGCCATAAATAAGCCTAGGAAAACCTACTTCGTAAATGGTTCTTGGTCCATATGTTAAGTAACTGAATTTGTGTAAGTCTAAAAGTTCAAAGCAGTAACGAACCACAAATAGGCTTTAAAATTTTTTGAATCCCAGTTCCTTTTCTTGATCTCCTTATTTATTTCTGGTAACCACTTCTCATTCAAGGCATACTTAAGGAACTAGAAGAATTCAGAGAGATTTAAAGTAGGAATAGCCTCATTATTGAGTGTTTATAGACTATTTTTTCTCTTTTGATAGTGTTCAGGGGAAACCTAACTTTCTGGGGGATGTGGGATTTTTTTTTCCCCCTACGTAGTGCATTCTTCTAACATATATTTGGCATTAACTCCCCCAGTTTTTTTTTTCCGGGGCACCCTAAACTACTAGTTTACAGTACTAAACGAAACCCACCGCCGTGCGAAACCGTTCAAGGTCACGCGAGCAGGTGCCTGGCCAGGGACCGGAATGCGCACTGCCAGGCCCATTTCGTTCTCCAAAGTCGGCCCTCGATCTCTGCCCACCTTTGGGGGTCACCCAGCCTGACTGCGACCAGACCACCAGACCGGGAGACGCAGTCCGCCCCCCGCCCCGGTGGCCGCGCTCGGAACCGCGCCTCTGGAAGGTTCCTGAGTGACTGACGGGTGGCGGGGCTGATGGCTCCGTGAAAGCTGGGGCGGAGCCGGCGGCGACCAGCGGCGGTGCTACGCCTCCCGGGGCCGCTCGGCCGCGCCCGCTGGCGGAAGCTGCGCTCTGCCTGACTAGAGACGCTCTGCTCAAGGGTCCCGGGCGGTGCCGCGGCCGCCTTCCGGGGCTCGCCGGCTGACTGGCCTCCCACCGCAGGACCATGCAGCGCTTAGCGATGCACCTGCGGATGCTCTCCAGGGAGCTCTCCCTCTACCTGGAGCACCAAGTCCGAGTTGGGTTCTTCGGCTCGGGAGTAGGCTTATCCCTGATCCTGGGCTTCAGCGTCGCTTACGCCTGCTATTACCTGAGCAGCATTGCCAAGGTGAGCCAGGGGTTGGCGCGGGCGCGGGGGCGCAGGGCCGCGGGGGGGTTTGCTGGGAGCGACAGCAGCCGGCCAAGCTGGAACTGCCGCCGCAGGCGCGGGTGGCTAGGGCCGCCCTGGAGGCGAGAGTGCCGCTGCTCGCATGTTGTTGCCCTTTCCCGGGCATCTCACGGACGCCCTTTGAGCGCGGGCGGGAAAGGGGGCCAGCTCTTGTCCGCCTGCCTGTGGGTCCGGCCCGGGTCCTTGGACAGCAGCCAGGACCCGGCTGACCCAGGCGCAACGGTACTGCCCTGTCACCGTTCGCTAGCCTGGCAATGCTGTAGCACTTCTGAGAATGACTCCCTTATCTCAACTCTTGCCTTCCTCTCTTCAAGGCTTTGGTAAATCACTCTTTAAGTCCGTTGTGACTGCGATGTGTGTGAGGCTTCTCGAAGGAGATGTAATCGGAGGGAGCGCGTGCGCGAGGGACGAGTCTGCTCATTTCTGGTTTACGGTTGGCAGAACTTTGTTCTGGACCCTTCACTATAATACTGGCTTTCCCCCACAGAAGCCCCAGTTAGTGACGGGGGGTGAGAGCTTCAGCCGCTTCCTCGAGAACCACTGTCCGGTGGTGACAGAAACGTACTACCCGACGGTCTGGTGCTGGGAGAGTCGAGGACAGACACTCCTGAGACCTTTCATCACTTCTAAGCCCTCGGTGCAGTACAGGAAGTAAGTATATTTCCATTTGCCGTCATTTCTTCAAAACCACGGGTTTTTTGGCATACTCCCAGTCCTTGGTTAACCTTTGGTTGGTCAGCATATAGAAAAGAAAGGGGATTGAAAATGGAAGGTTTGCCCCCTCGCCCCCACCCAACACACACTCAGTTGCAGGAAAATATTCAGGTATTGCCTTTCACCGTGTGTGTGTGTGTGTGTGTGTGTGTGTGTGTGTGTGTGTGTGCGCGCGCGCGCGCGCGCGCGCGCGCCTTGATGTAACCGGTTTATTTCTAGAGAAGTGTTTGAGGGTTACTCTTTTCCAATTTGGCATGCATCTGTCCCTGAGGACCTAGATCCTTTGATGATATATACCAACTCACTGATGCTGGGAGTGGGGATGGGGTGGAGAACGGTGCCAATTAATTTGGATTTTGCATGATGGGCTCCTGTAAAAGGATTTCATATTAATAAGCAAATGGGTTCTTGATGCTAATGTCCTTGAGGTGTTAAAGATATGATCCAGAATTTATCAGTAATCAGGAGACTTAGATGGTGCCTACTATTAATTTCCCTGAGTCATCTAGTCTTTCTGGAGTTCCTTTTGTTGTCTGGAATTTGCACTATTTGGGAAAATTCTTTAAGTTCATAGATACTGTGTGAGAAGTACTTTAAAATATTTAAGAAGCAAATTTTATAATATACTCTGTGGAGAGACTACATTACTGAGTCAAAGGGCCAGAGCAGTGATCAGATCAGCACTTTACTTATTCACAATTCCCTGATGAATTATTTGGGTGACCTCAATCAAATAGGGCTGGATATTTTAGAGTAATGAGGAAATGATAAAGGTAAATATGTGAAGTACTTTGTAGTTCATTTTTATATGCTGCCTTTTTGTGGTGTTGCTGGAAATACGTTATGGTACTAATCTCATATCATTCTTGTAATAAAAGAAAGTGATATAAGTGTGTGTTAGTGAATGCTGAAAAAAAAGTTCTTTTCAGATGACCAAATCATGTCATATATTTATAAAATTAAGACACTAATTTTAAGACATGACTCGAAACACTTAATGAGTATGTCTTTTATTCCTTTCAGTGAACTTATTAAAACTGCAGATGGCGGACAAATTTCACTGGACTGGTTTGATAATTGTAACAGCAAATGTTATATGGATGCCACCACCAGACCTACTATCTTATTGTTGCCTGGCCTCACTGGAACAAGCAAGGAATCGTATATCCTTCATATGATCCATCTTAGTGAAGAATTGGGATACAGGTACCAGTAAAAGATTTATTCCATTTTTCACGTATTTGTCCTAAATGAAGCACAAATCTATCTCTATGTTTGTTTCAGAAATACTTGTTATTTTTTGCATGGATTAAGCAGTTGCCTAGATTATTATTTTTCTCTGCTTCCTCTTTTGCCTTTCTTTTTTCCCCCAGGAAGATGCATAACTGAATCATCTCATAGGAAATAGCACTTAGCCTAGTAGACACTCAGCAGATTTTGGATGAATGAATGAATGAAATTAGTATCACCTAGGAATTGACATAGGACCCAGGTCTGAGGAGCAGTAGGCCCACTGAAAGCAGTGCTATGGAAAATAGCCATTACAAACCCCTGAGAGAGTACATAGTGACCCTCATGTCTTGTTCCATATTTGAGCCCTGAATCCACTAATCTTGTCTTATTGGCTCAGACCTCAAATGTAAAAAATATTCAGAATCAGCTTGTAGGTGAGCCTTATTTTTCCAAAGGTGATCCATGCCTCTTCTGTCCACCTGAGTTTGCAGATACACATAACTAATGTCCAGTCGATGATGCCATAGTATTCTTTAGGAACCATTATTCAACTTAGTCACCAGGTACAATTTCCCTTTTTACAAGTGACTTAGCAACTTTAAATTTCAGATTCAGCTCTAAAATCTTAAAGCAGAGTCATTGTGAAAAGTACTGCTCTTTTGTGTCTGTCTTTTATAGCTGATGGTAATTATTATAATGGAACACTCTGAGTTGCATTTAAAGTAGAGTTGTATCTTTTGTTCAAATTGAAACACTCTGTGTGAAAAAATGATGTAGAGTTTATATTAATGAAAACATTTTATGTAAGTGGGGAAATACCGTAAGAACTAATTCAATTTTAACAAGTTAACTCTGATCTTTTATAGATAAAACCTATTTTGTGCATGAAATGACAGTCTCTCAGACATTTTGATAGATGTTCCAGAATTATTGTTCTTGTGAAATTTTCACTAATAGCAGGAATTCATCATTATTCCATGTTTAGCATCATCCAGTTAGATGTGAGGCTTGATTCCAATTTTTTGCTAAAAGTTAGTCATGCTCAAAAAGTACTGATCATAAAGCCTATTGTGCATATTTAAATTGCTGATTCTATACTTGGCCTGAGCCGTCTCTCAAGACAGGAAGTGCTTTTAAAAACAATGTAGTTGAAACTCAAGGACTAAATTTCATAAGCCCTGGAGTTGCCAGTACACAAGGCAGTTTTCCATCATTTGTAAAAGTTGCCAAATTTTATGACCATGGCTATCATTACACTGTGCTTCAAAGCTTTTGGAAGATTCTAGCTCCCCTGAGGGTTAAAATCTCTTCTGTTGGTTCAGAAATTAAACAAAGAGTTGTGAGAAGTTGTTGGTTCAGAATTTAAACAAAGAGTTGTGAGAAGTTGTCCTTGCCACAAGGAGCCTGTGAGAAGAGTAGGCTGGACAGTGTCCCTGTCAGCTGCTTTGAAGACCCACCTTATTTGGGTTTCAGTAACTCTAACAGTGAATTAGACTGGGCTTGAAAGTAGCAGAATACATGAATAAGCAGTGGTCTGTAAACTTTTCAGTGGCCTTTTGGACTATCCCCTTTTGTTTTTAACTACAAGAGGATCACTGAATCTAAGTTGGAGAGGGTGTATCAGTTAGCTTTTGCTGTATAACAAACTATCCCAAAACTTAGTAACTAAAAAAACAACCATTCTGCTCATAATTCTGTGGTTCTGGAATTTGGGCTGAGCAAAGCTGGAGGGTTCTTCTGCTCTTGGCTGGGATCGTTCATGCATTTGAGGTCAGCAGCCAGGACAACTCCATGCATGGGGGCCCTCAGCAGGGATGACACATCTCAGCTCCATGTGGCCCCTCATCCACCATCAGGCTCACCCTGAGTTTGTTCATTTGGTGGCAGAGGGTTCCAAGAGTACAAAAGTAAAAGCTTCAAGGCTTCTTGAGGTTCAAGCTAAGAACTCTCATAACGTTGCTTCTGCCACATTCCAGTCCAAGCGAGTCACGTGGTCAACCCAGAGTTGAAGAGTAGGGAAATAGACTCCACCTCTTGATAGGAAGGCCTACAAAATATTTTTGCAACCTACCAGAGACAGCAAGGCAGTTCTGAAGACCACTGAAGTAAAAAAAAAAAAAAAAGATCTGGAACTTTGGCAGAAGGATGGGTTGAGTCCTTTGAGGCTGTGTAATATAGGGATATGTGTGTGGGATTTGGAGCTGGGTCTGTGTTCAAATGTTGGAACTTCTACTTACTGAGTGACCTTGGCAATTAATTTTTAAATTTACCAATTACAGCTTCTCATTTACTACAGACAGTTTAAATGAATTAGAATATATAAAGTACTTGGTTTAGTGACCTGAACAAAGTGTATCTTTAGGAATGTTTATGTTTTCCTTCCCAGACCTTCTATTCCCTGATCAGAATAGAATACTTTTTATAATTTAAAGAGCAAGTACAAGCAAACCTACCTCTTGGGATATTTTAACATCTGGTTTTCTTACAGGAATGCTTTGATTGTATTATAATGTCTCTTACACAGTAGAGTTTCATAGGCAGTACAAATTCCTCAATACCTTGGGGGTGTATAACCTTCAAGCCCCAGTTACTATCTTGTGTAAAGGCTGAATGTGGAGGGAGGGTCAGGTCACCAGAGAACTGTTGCTGCTTCGCTGCTGAGATATGATTTAGACATTAGAGAGAACTTAACTCCTGGCATATGGATAAGTGAAACATAAGGGTTTACTACTGTTGCTGTTAAAAAATGTGTTATTCCTGTACCTGAAAACTGACAAAGACACAGAACTTCTCTGGTAAGGTTCACCAGTTCAGCATTAATAGCAGATGGGATAGAAACTAAGCTGAAGTTCATTTAAGATCATTGTGAACAAAAGCTTTACCAGGAAGTCAAAGGGAAATGAATGGGGAATACATGGTCTACCTGCCTGCCCATCTTCATTGGCTGAGTGCAGTATGTGTTCCTTGGATAAACTTGCCCCTGAGGAGAGAAGAGAATTGCTGAGCCAGACAGCCTCAGTCATGCTTCCAAATTTTATCAGTCAGATAAGCCCTCCATCTCCTGGAGTATGAGTAAAGTAAGAAAGGCCAGGAGGCCAGGAGTGTGTTTGGAAAGAAGCTTCCCTCATAGAAATCAGAGGACTGAAGAAAAAGTTACACCCATATGATTGATAAAGTAGTTAGAAATCTTATCCATTCATTCAAGATTTTTTTTTTAAATCTCTATTTGGTAACACAGCCTAATAGACATTATTTTATGTACCTGAATATTATCTGTTTTCTTAAATCTTTTCCCCATTGTCTGAATTAGTTTTTAGCACTACAACTAAAAAGAGGGAGAAAAACTAACTCTGAGAACATCCAAATCATCTTCTACTTTGACCTCTTTTATTGAGAGCCTTCATCTACTATTTTGTTCCACCCCCAACTCGTATTAAAAAGGGTGAACCATCCAGAATTATGTAATAATAAGTCCATTGAAATCTAGGTCAGTCATTAAGTATTTTTATCAGAACCTATATTCCCAAAGAGCATACAGTTTAGCTGAAGTGACGAAGAGTATGCAGTAGTAGGGAAGAAATGCATTAGAGAGAACCAGGACTAGCTACAAGTAACAGAAAACTCAAAATAACAGTGACTTTTTTTTTTTT